GCCCTACAATCCTTTGCGAAAGTAAGGTCATTAGATCCAGCCAATAAGCAAGTCAAACATGAGGTAAGTTAATGTCCGATTGTGCATAATTTCCAAACGACTTATAGCTAGGAATAATGCTCATAGTACAAGTAGTTAAAAAGCGATATTCTTTACGGCAATTCATCAAACATGGATGTATTTTAACGGCGAACCTTAACATTTGTTCTATGATTAACTATATTATTCATTCATCGTTTAAGATTCAAAATGCCACATCACTCAAATTGTATTTCGAAAACGCTACAAAGCATATGGATAAAGAAGATTATCGACAGGTTTTGAATTTTAGTAATGTATTGCTACGGTTGATATTTCTCACTCCGTAAATTGATATTAATATGTTATGATCTAATTTATGTTATGTTAATTAAGTCCTCGAAATAGCTTAAGCTAATAGGACGAAACATTAAAATCTAAAAGCCTCTTGTTATAACCAATATACTCATATAGGTCATATATTGGATCGATAAAGCGCTACAGATTTCACCCAGCTGCTTACAATTTAAATTTTTAAAAGTCGAAGCTTTGATTAAACGCGGGATCTTTAGCGAAGCCAGCTCTATTGTCAAGTCAGCATGAACTATTACATTGTCGATTTTATTAACAGCCATTGTTGAAATATGCATGAATATTTTTCTATATCAATTTTTTTTTTTGCAATATTCAGTGACGTACTACGAATGAATGATATGAATGCAGATGCATTGTATCTTCGTGGACTATGTCTTTACTATCAAGATTATGCAGAAAAAGCGAAGAACCATTTTATGCGCGTACTTAAAGCAGATCCAGATCATAAGCGATCTAAGGACTCGCTGAAGGTATACCCTTCTACACAATAGCCATGACTACGTTAGTAATAATAAGTCCTACATTGCATTTTCTGTTATTTATTTATTTGCGAATAATAATTCATCTAGTTAATAAAAAGATTAATCAGTGCGAAGGAAGCTGGTAATGAAGCCTTTAAGAAAGGCAAGTATGAGGAAGCGTACAACAGCTACACGCAAGCATTAGAAATTGACCCTTATAACAAGTATATAAATTCGAAATTATACTGTAACAGGGCCACCACACATGCTAAGGTATAATATTGACACAAAATTTATTTCTAATCTTTAACTAAAATTCGAATTTTTAGTAACATTTTTGTAACTACCTGCATGTATGATTTCATTAGCTCAATAGAGCAGAAGCAGCAATAGCCGATTGTTCGGAAGCAATCAAATTGGACGATAGCTATGTCAAAGCATACTTACGCAGGGCTAAATGGTATGACGAATGATTACTTCATATTTTACCGCTATTTCGAATGGGTACATTTTACGATACGGATAACACTCTTTTTCTTCAGTTATATGGATACTGAACAATACGAAGAAGCGGTTAGAGATTATGAAAAGGTACTCCAACTAGATACGTCTCAAGGTAAGTTAGGAAATGTAAGGACAACTACCTTAATACTTCGGATTGTAATGCTCGCTATTAGAAAATTGCAAGTTGTACCCTATACCAAATAATTAAGCCTATGGAATGTATATTTAATCTAATTACAGAACACAAGAGATTGGTAAAAGATGCGAAATTAGAATTAAAGAAATCTAAGAGAAAAAACTATTATAAAATTCTTAATGTATCTAAAAATGCTACCGATGACGAAATTAAGAAAGCTTATCGTAAAGAGGCATTAAAGCATCATCCAGGTACTACCTACAGTTTTATCTGCCTCGATGGTATCTCAATTTAAGCTATTGTAGTTAACAATTTTTTCTTCTAAATCTAAAGATCGTCATGCTAGTGCTACTGAAGAGGAGAGGAAAAAAGAAGAACTATTATTTAAAGAGGTCAAAAAGATGAATTTAGATTAGTGGTTTTAACGTTATTAATATACTAACTGTGGTCGATTTATATTCAACAAGTAGGTAGGAGAAGCATATGCAGTTTTATCCGATAAACAGAAGCGCCATCGCTATGACTCAGGTCAAGACTTGGAAGATAGTTCATTTGGAGGTTTGTACTTTAATGATCGAAATACTAAAGCTACATTAAAAGACATGTATTGTCTTTCAAATCGTTGATTCATAATTAACTCTTTAAAATTTTACAGCCGATATTAATCCTAATGACATTTTTCAAATGTTCTTTGGTGGCGGTGGTGGTGGTAATCCCTTTGGTGGAGGATCTCGATTTCGTAATAGTGGGGGTCATGATGATGGTACTTATTTATGATGACATAGTATTACAGCCAACAATTATTATGATTTATTATTAACTTTTATTCAGTTTTAACTCAATTGATACAATTTACTATGACGCTGACACTTTTTTACTTTTTCATTTTACTAGGATATCCTGGCTTTACGTTTACTTTTGGTTAAAATTATTCCTGTTCATTCTGTATTATTGAGTGCATTTATACTTTTATATTGATTATAATAATACTCGTTAAGTTAATGTAAATGCAATAAATATCTATGCGATTTGTTGGATTGCTCTTCCGTACTAAATGTATTGATATCGTTGAAGATAGTAAGTGAGGCTTTTAACCGTACGATAATTGCTAATCAGTTATCTCTTGAATTAGTAATTTTTGAATCATACTGATATTATCGATAGCAGTAAAGTAAAGCATTGTTTGAGATGTGAAGGAGGCGTTGATCACATTTGATTCACTGGTGTACCATAAGTATAGGCAACTACCAAAAGCCGAACAGGAACATCCTTCAATGTAAATGCACAATTTTTGGAAAAAAGTTTGACCGTAATTGATGTACAATTTGTATCCCTAAATACAATATCCAGCTATGGAAAGCTAGAAATAAACTGTATTTTAAACTATTTACCTTTTATTCTAATTGATTAAATGCTAAGTTTATGTCCCTACGATACAATCGCATAGTACTTAAGTAGACGTGATCATATGCACCACCGTGCGCGTAGAAATTAATATTAGCAAGACGACCAGTAGAACTATCACGATTTACATTTATGCATGTTTTGATTACCCACGTTACGTCCATGTTCCGTGTGAATATTGATCAATTACATCATGTCGTAATTCAAAACGATTCGAGATTATTGGGGCAATACGATAATATCTCAAGTACTTTTATCAAATATCAACAGTCTTTTAAACCTAATAACACAGTTCTAACTATTAGAAAAGCAGGGATAGAACTGGTAACAGCATAATAATTATAGTTAATCAATATAATAACCCACTTAAATATCTACCATACGCTGATTCATACATTTAAATAAAGTCCTGCACTCGATAAAGAAATGCTTATTAGAAGTTTTCCGTAAGAGATTATGGTTAAATTTCATTGCTTAATTAAACAGTTTATTTCGACATCATATATAAATGAAATAGTTTGCTTTATCAAGTTATATATGAATTTTCTCTTTAAGACAACACTACTGCCTGGCAATGACAACTAATTTACCATAATAATAAAAATAGTTGTTTAAAGGTTCATTAAATTTATCGCACATATCATTTAAGTATTAGTAACTCCGTCGTAGTTCATTTAACTGTCAAACTATTTGTTTCTTCACAGATACGTTAATATCTTAGAATGGTGAATGTTGTCCGCATGAAAGGAAACTAAGAACGGAAAGTAGCTATGTTATAGCTCTAAACTAAAATATAACGTAGTACCTAAGGTGATATTGTCAATGTCTCCTGTGATAATGATCAAGGTTTATTTCTTTACTCAATACGCCTGTACAGTTGAATTAGGGTTATTTCTTCATAAATTATATATCAGTCAAATTTATATTAGAAACCACAACTATTTACGATGAATCACTATACATAGTCTTGCATAATTTCACCCATGATCGATTGCATCACGAATTACATAAAAAAAATCTTCAATTTTTAGAATTAGCTAGCAGTTATTGTTGTTAAAGCATGCCGCTATCGTACTGATTCTATCCCAGTATCTATAGTCGAGCTTTCTGAAGAGTGTACATTATACTCCGCACGATTTCCAAATGCTGGTGTGTGACTAAATTAGTACGTAGGCAGTTTTATTCCTAGATTTGCTGCATATGCCCTATAAGTTACATGATCCTTTAATTTATATGACATGATATGAACACGTTGCACACCATCAGTAAATTTCAAAACTCTTAAATTAATGACCCAATTACAAATAGATAGTTTTATTTTTTTTTTTTCAAGTGATTCTTAGACCTAATTATAATGAAATATGGCCACTTATATACTGTCCCATTTTATGCGGCATATAATAAATAATCAGAGAGATCGCCCACGTACGATATTAATGGACATAAATCAAGCTGATAAAACAGAAATATTTGGCAAGCTCTGGTAAGCTGATTCAATAATAATCTATTTTCAGAGGTACTTTTTTGGTTTAGATTATTCGTCACAAATTGAACGAGAAAACCTCAATCTTGCTTATTTTCGAAAATATTTTATTAGTAGCCAGGTAATGCATGTAAAAATTTGACATTAAATTCGAAGAATAAAACACTTTTCAAGTTTAAACTATAGTTGTAGCCAGAAGAATAGGTAGTAGATGAGTAAAAAACGTACTCTACGCCGGACATCAATGAAATCCTAACTATCGCTACATAAGCCTAGTATCAAAACTGTGCAGAAAATAGTTGCTCATTGAGTAAGTAAAGAGGAATATACCTGTGATAGCATTAATTTTACTAATATAGTAAATGTTAAGCTATTCCTTTACTTAATATCAGCTAAATGCTAAAATTGCTACTAAGATATATAATAGCTCGGAATTATGCCACATCAATTCTTTCTTTGGTTACGTTCTAACTTTGCAGGCAGTGGTTGCTTATTGATTGAATAGAGTAGAATTTACTTACTACGGCGTTGATTTTATAACGATAGTAAAGGTAAGACGTTACTCTATCTAATATCAGCTAATTACTACGATTGCTACAAGATATGTAATAGTATAGCATTACTCCATATTAATTCTTCCTTCAGCTACGTTATTGAGATCCTGGCTGCTAGTTACAGCTGCTTTTATACTAAAACCGGCAAGTACAATCGCACTTAGTGTGGTAATAGTAGTGAATGCGTAAATGAATCCGTAATATGTCGTAATAAGACTAGTCTGATAATTCTGGTCAGCCAAAAATTCATAAACACTCATTGCCATCGCCCAAAAACTACCAGCGCTATTGAAAACATTGAGCACAAAGTATGCATATTTCTACATTTTAAAACGAGAACAAAGATAGTTCAGAGTTTGAGAATGGATTCTTTTAAACAAATGTAATCAATGCAATGCCCCACTTACTGCTAGTTCGTTGCTAGTAGATTGGATATCGATTCCGTATCTAGCTCCTACATAAGCCTACAGAAATGTTATTAATAATTAAATTATGATCAAGGTGTCAGGCAGTCCATGCAATTTATCAAACTAAAATGATTTTCAATCGCATGATGTATTGCAATCAGTCATCACTATCATTATAAATTTACCATGACTGAAACAATTAAAACAGGAAACCCATATGTGGGATAATTCATGACTGCGATATTAAAGATTCCAATCCCACTGACTATGACAGCAGTGCTCAGCATGCCGGCACTAGTAGTGTCAGTAATAGGTGTATTCCTATAAGTTGGTGTTTTATTTCTGACATCATCGGCAGCTATCATAGTGATTAATGAGATAGTAAATCCAAGGATAGTAAAGATTGCTTGAGATAGAGTTAAAGCCGTAAAATCGCCTCTTCGCCAGCCCGAATTTATTAGATTGCCAGTGAAGAAAACAAGAAGACGAACGATAGAAACAACAGAAGCGGCACCAATTCCGGCGGTATAAGTGGTAAAAATCTTATGCCATATGTTCTAAAGCAATAAATGAAGCCTTTAATTTTCGAAAGGAGAGTAAAATACACCTTTTTAACTGCTGCCTTTCAACTATCGAATAGAAAGGTAACTTTAAAATAAAATTAAGCTCACCAAATTACGAACACGTTTTTTTTCAGTAATGATACCTAGGATTCCAGTAGCAAAAAGCTAACGCGCAATTTTTAAATTAGACAATAATTAATTAATTAAAAATAAATAAATGTTACTAAGCAAATCAATACTACGGATTAGCAGAGTTTCTATTTAGGAGAAGAATAAAGTATTGGTTGATTGAATGCGACTAAATAGACGTATTAAGTATCACTGACCAGAGCTGCGTGAAGATTAGCTGTTACGACATGATATAAAGGCCAACGTTCCACAAATAGAGTGATCGATATTCCAAAAATGATCAGGCCACATGTCATCATCGTCCAGGATAAGGCAGATTTGTTAAAAGGAGTCTGAATCAGTAAATAACCATCCTCATCCGAATGAATACGATGAACTTGCTTGACAATCACGTAGATAGAAATTATTTCTATTATAATTATGCCAAGTACTGCCAATGCCATAGGCACAAAAAAGGCTACCGGTGAATTATAATTGCTTAAAATCAAGACTAGCACCATTCTTGTTAGTGTTGCAGGTGATATTCCAGCAGTTATTATCGCTACAGCTGTAAGAGCGCAAGCCTATATTAATGAATATAAAGTAGAGGAATCATCGCAGTAGATATTAGTTACAGATATCTATTACGGCATTTAACATAAACATCCAGATGAAGTTACTTGTCGAGCTGATGATGAGCAATAAAGTCTAAGTTTGCTTACCTCAGTCACAGTGGATGAGATGAAATCTTTAACTTTTAGTAAAAGAACGCCATGAGTAATAGCCTGTAAATTTGATTCATCAAAAAGAATACGAATAATTTTGAATAATCATTTGAACAAATCCGTCTCGAAAAGTTAGATTTTATCTGTATAAAATAAAGCTGAAATACTATCGTGGCTGAGGCCAAGAAAATATACCATAGTTTATTGGCTTAGTAATTTCGTTGCATAAAATTCGTTACTTTATTTTGCAGTAGCATGTTCCATACAGTATCGTGAAATTGTGACCAGATTATTATCAATTGTATTGTATTAGTAAACTATTTCGCTTCCTTAAATTCTGTGGTTATGTGATAATTTATCTTAACGAAAAATTCTGCATCGAATATTTTACTTTTCTATAAAACTAAACTGAAACAGCCACTACGCGTAGTAAATCTTTTTAAGAGTGTATATATCTTTATGATATTAGCCAATGGCCTTATTACGAAGTGAATTATACATTGCAATCAAAACAAGACAACAGCTAGATAACTGAAGTTGAAATTCACTAATTCTAACATCATCTACGATGCCGTACTTATCTGCAAAGATTAAAATTAGTTTCTATAGTATTATCTAAGTAACACACATTGATATTTATTCGGCGCCTTGAATCTTGCTAGTGTAAATTTATTTAACAGAATTTATTCTGCTCTTGAACTCATGATTTGATAGTTATTTCAATATTCTATATACAGTATCCTATGCTATCTTCTTACTTCAGTATTATGTCTATAAACATTACTAAAACTTTATAATTATCTGTTGTAGGTAAGCTAAAACCAGAGTGGCAGTTAACATGCGCTTGCTACCTTACTATTGATACAATATTTGCCTGATGATTTGCACTAGTTATACAGCTGTAGTTACACCTGTCGAAGGTTTGGTTTAAAAGTATGATAGAAGTAGAAAGCCAAGTAGCATTCGGTAATGTGGCATCCTAAGAATTTGTTCTATCGAAAATTTTAAATTCTCATCTGTTAGACTGCTAATTATAAGGGTAAAAATCTTATTTTTACAGCATAGTTCATTTTATTTTAGACTTAAAACTGTTGTATATTATACCGAATATTATTTTTCGAACTGAGAAGATTAGCAGCGAGTCAGTTCTACAATTTACGTATACTGTAGATGCCAATGATCATTTTGTCTTAAACTGACAAACCTTGACGGTAATAAATAAAAACCAATCGTGCTGATTAAAATAAAGAATAAAAATCAACTTACAAAAAGTTCCATAACCCCAAGATCAATCATCACTGTATTTTCATGGCTTCGTAACATAGATTGATTAAAAATGAAAGTGAGAAGGCCACTAACTATAACATCTGCAGCTGCTATAAAGAGGCAAATACCCATAACGCGTTGCGAACTCATCCTTTCTCCTAAAAGGTATCAGAAATTTTGGTAATGAGTTGAATATATTATTGAAATGATAAGAAAGAGAGAGTATAATATACTGTCAAACCTTAATTTGTGAGAACAGCGGTTTTATATTAATTTTTTACTTAAAGTGCGCACGATATTCACCAAATAAGTTGCAAATATCACTATCAGCTTTGACGGCAATAGCTTAGAAATAAACGGTAAATTAAAGTTGGTGTGGTCTTATAAATAATTATAATACGGTAATGTATAAACAGTGATTAACTATACCGGTATGTATTAAGTGATTGGCTATTATGTTGCCATAGCACTATAATTAATCCAATATGAGAATAAAGGATCTTAATTAGGCTAAATAAAAGTTGCTGAATGGTAGACTTTTGTAGTATAGTCTTACTTTCAACTCTACAATATGATTTATTGTACTAAAGTAACTTTTAAGGCCAAGAATTTGATTATACCTCGCATATTTTGTTACACTATTCGTTATTTTGCAATAAATTGCATAAACCCTTAAGAAAAGCAAATTAAACTCTCTTTTAATTTTCATCCTAAATGCAGAAATCATTTTTATGTGACATAGAAAGCATCAACTAATGCCATTTCTTAAATAGAAGTATTTGACTATTAAGTCTTGTAGATGTGTAGTTTAGGTAAAATTTAGATAGATTTCGAAGTCTTTATTTCAGTATCTTAGAATACAGTGTCTTATATACTGTACAGTTCTTAAGTTCTTTTTAATTAATCTTCTTACTTGAAACGTCTTATTATAATCATAATTAAATCGTCATTAGAAATACTTTCCTAACTAAACAATCAATAAATCTAATATTGCGGAACTGTCTATTTAAGACGATATTACTCCGTATAACTCTACGTCATAAATGGCCAAAATGTAGCAATCAATCCTCACTATTGTGAATGTAAGGTAAAACTATAAAGTTATTTCAAAATTTCTAGGCCATACTGCACTAAGTCTGGCATAACCTTCGAGATTGATATTGGAAGAAAATCTGTAAATCGATTTCTAGTAGCAATGAATCAACTTCTGCTGTTATAGTCAATGATATTCTTTACAAGTATGCCGATAGGATGAAATTCCTCTTTCCACATTTAAATTTTTTGCGGTAGCAAAAAACAAATATTTTAATTTAAAATCTTATGATGATTATGTTGTTATAAAATTTAGTAGATTAGCTTTAGTAAAGAGTCAATTCAGTTTTAATAGTAACGCTCAATGATATTCTTTATAGGTATTTCGATAAAATGAAATTCTATTTTCCACAGTTAAATTTTCTACCGTAAAGAAAAGAGAAATTTTCATTTATAATCTTGTAATGATGGTATTGTTGTAAAAATGAGTACACTAGTTTTAACGAATAATACAAGCCGCATAAGAATTAGTACATACGCATAAAATTGCGGAAAAATATCTTTATACTTAATCGTCAGTATCTAAATACTATCTAATGAGAAGATACTTATGAATTACTAGCTATGAATTATGCTAAAATATACAGTAAGTAATTACGCTGTACAAGCCCAATTTATCATTATTTGTATGGTGAGTCATTTTTAGTAATCATTCGAGAGAATGGTATACAAATTGCCATTAATGCCAATCATTAAATTCAAAGCTCCACTAAAGAATCTTCTATGTGCTGCATAAATTACTATAGATTGAAGATGGTCCATAAGCTAATTATGATTATTAGTTGATAAAAGTAGTCTGAACCGAATTACTTCGTTATTTATTAACAAGCATAAAAACGTTCGATAGAATGAATTAGTCAGTTCAATAGTATATAGTAATGTCTAACAAGTTAAGTGCGATTGCTGTAATTGGATTATAGTAATTTTGTAAAATTCAGTAAGCAGAGCTACTAATAAGCTAATACATGCAATTAAATTTAAAAATAATCAAATTTCTAGCAAATATGAAGTGATTACTATAATCAGATAATGCTTTTGTAAGACTATGGTAGACAGTACTACTCACAAGCTAATACAAATAAATTAAATTTTAAGATTGATTGAATTACGAGTAAGTTAGGAGTGATTGAAGTGATCGGGTAATACTACTATTGTAATATTATGGTGGATAGTACTCCTAACGAGCTAATACATGCAAATAAATATTTATAAAAATTAATAAATTAAAAGAAGGCCTTTAGTGAGTCAAGTAAAAGTAACACAGTTTTGATTTTAATTATTGATTATCATCAGTTAACCATTAACCTATTATTTCATAATGTGAAATGACGGATTTTATGCTTATTTGTGATACTATAGAAATATCGCTAACCTGAAAACTTCCAGTATATCCAAATTGCAAAATTTCGTTGATAGAGCGCAACAACATTTAGAATCAGGTAATTCGGATACTCTATCTGACATAGATGTACTAGACTTTTTCTAGAAGGTTCGTCAGTCGATCTTAGTGAATTGCAACTGAAGCAGGCGATGAAGAAATAAAATTTGGGGATTCATGAGTATTAGGTACGATAAAAATAATAATAAATTTAAGGCATCAGTTTGTTATTAATCCCAAATCACACTTGGGCCCTCTATAAAATACGTTTGATTTTCACTGGCAATGTTTAGAAGTAGCAAGTCAACGTCGAAATCTAGAAAATATTGTACCTTTAAGAGTAAAAAACGAATATCACACCTGCCCAGGCACAAGCTCTGAATGCTCAGGTATAACATAAGATTATTACACACCTTAAACGGAAAGAAATGAATGTTGCTAAGAATGAGCATGAATACACTAACGATGAAAAAAAATGAAAGACTTCCTGGATGGGTTCACTATAACTTTAGCCCAGCAACCACAAATAAATGAAAGTTGTATTAAACTTAAAATAGCTCAAGTAATCCTTAAGGAAGAGCGAAAATATCTTCAGAAAAAGCAACTACATATCTTAATTCAGATTATTTTAATCTGTAAATTAATTAATAGGATGTTTCTAAGGGCATTTATGAGAACTATCTTATCGTTTCTATCAGCGGGTTGCATTAAACTATTTCTGTAGCGCAGATTTATTTCTTACAACGAATAATAATACTTTTTAGCCTTGCCCTATATTCTTGCCGATTTGTTTAACTTATAAATACTGTCTTGTATCAAAGAGCAAGAAATCAGTTTTGAGATCATCTTGCTTCATATCGCTATAAATTCGAATGCTATGTCACACTTATATTGATATTCTACTCTAACGCTCACTATATGTCTAGAAATAGTACGGATATTATATATTATTTTTGTACACTTTCAGTCTTTACTTGGATTACTAGTGTACTTCTACATACAGAATAGATGTAATAGTATACTTCATATAATAAGTATTGTACTATTATACAGAATAAAGTTAACATATCATTTTGATTAAACATTGTTAAGCTAATATGTACAAATGCGTTCAGGCATGGAAAAAATTACACAAGTAATTGTTGTATCAAGATAAATGATGCAATGATAGCGCTCTTAATATTTCAAAAGACTATCTTTACTAAAGAGGTTACGATCAAAATCCATAATCAGCCATTATGCATAGCCAAAGTCAAATAATTTAAGCGAAATTACCATATTTCGGACTTCGTCCGAATGAATCTATTACTCAAATCCTAACTTACGCATAACTTACAGGGAGGCGTAGAATTAAGCGGTAAAAGTTTCATTAATATAATATGGGTAAGTATTGAAATTATAACCTACTGCTACCTGTTGGTAGACCTACAGAAAGTATTTGCAGCGAAAATTTTACTAATACCGTAAAAAGAAGGATTTAAAATTGTACTTTATAAATTTCCTTAACAAACATATCGTGACTATTCGTACTACACAGGCAGGAATTTTAGCCTTGAATTACTAATAAAAATAGTCACTACTCTACCTTGCACAAGTTAAACACTTCTGGTATATATCGTTATTGTATTATTATCATAATTTACATTCTGTGACTAAGAAACGTAAAGTAAAAGTCTATAAGTAGATAATGACTTAAACGCTCTTTTACCAAATATTATACACGCACAGCAAAGTACCGTAAAGATGGAACTTTTATTAGCATAGACAAATCTACAACTTTTACACAGAGCTCTACTCAAAATGTTCCCATTTATATTCTTACCATCTAACTTGTAAACAGCAGCAGTATTATTATTGTACCTTACTAAGAGTGATATCTGGAACTGAGACATTCCTTACATAGCTTTTCTATCATGAAATATTTTTAACCTCATACCCATATTTAACCTTAACCTAAGTATACTTGCTAGTTCAACTATCACTAGCTAGAATTTGAATCATCGTATCACTATCTACACACAATAATAATCAATATCAAAAATGAAATAAACTATTACAGATAATATCCACGTAAAGGTATTACTTATTTGTGTAGTACTACAGATACGGATATTTTCCATTTTAGCTACTACTGCGCTATTAAACTATCCTAGCGTTGAGGTAACACCTAAACAATTACACCCTGGGGATACTCTATTGCTTAAGTTATCCACGTCTTTGCTACTTCGAATAGCTGCTTTAATACTGAAATAGGCGACTGGAATTAAACTAAGAATAGTGATGCTACCAAAAGCATAACGGAAGAAGAAAAAGGTCTTGAGAAGGCTAGTTTGATAGGATGCATGAGCCAAGAATTCATAGACGCTCATGCTGATTGCCCATATACTGCCAAAACTATTGAAAACGCTGAGAACGTAGTATGGATATTTCTGTATTGCAAACA